GGAAACACAAAAGTCAGGAACTTAAGCAGCATATTTCACTGGGCAAAAATGCAAAAGGGCCTCCAGGTTCCTAATAACCAACATACACTGCACTGCTCTGCCAGGTCCATGACTCTCTGCTGGCCAGGGGTGGATTTCCCAATAAACAAGATAAGCATGGTCTTACTTGTGGTTACCTTGTGGTTAACAGTCCAGTGCTCAACCTACAGCACCATACCAAAATTCCACTCAGTTCTTGTGGGATCGTGACTATGAAGAGGTTTTACTCTGTAGGAAGGTGCTTTGAATTTGGGAGAGAGGCAGATGCCAGTCACACCTAGAAGCAGAATCTATGATATGGTGAAACAATAAGAAATTGTTTGCTACCGATTAGTAAATGAGCATGAGTAAGACCGTGTTTACCCTGCTTATTGAATAATCAACATTGCTGTTGGCCACCACCTTGGAACCTTGAAGGTTCCAACTTTGTAGCTCTGCATGAAGAAAAGAGAGTGACCCGTTTTCTCCCCTTTGTGTGCTTAGTCAGAGGGTCCCCAGAAGCCTGGGCTCCATGGAGTTTGTTCCCACTCATAGCAACTCTGTATAGGATTTCCAAGGAGCAGCTGATGGGTTTGAACCGCCAACCTTGAGGTTAGCAGTCCAGTGCTGATCCTATAGCGCCACGACAGGATTCCTATACTGGATAGTGAAACAACACATTTCAGTGTGTGCTTTTAGTTGTTTTCATTACCATTAAAGTCAAACATCAATACAAAGAGGCTGGAAGACAGTCTGAATAGCAGATGTCATCCTCAAAGTAAGAGGGAGTCCTGGTGTGGCTCTGTAGGATAAGCACTTGACCATAAGTCAGGTTTGAACTGCAAGGTCGGTGGTTCAAATTCACCAATCGCTTCTTGGAAACTCTATACAGGGTCGCTATGAATCAGAACCAACTCAATGGCACTTAACAACAACAACAACAACTCCTCAGAGTGGCCTCCCCTCCCACATACACCACAAAAGCATTGTAACTGGGACAGAATTTTAATGCCTAAGTTTCTTTCCTGAGGATAAACGCTCTCCTATGAGGATAAGAAGCTTCCAGAAAAATACTCTCCTATAAGACACTCTCCCCTTCCAGGCTGAACTATATCTGAAATGAAATGGGGGGACACAGCTGAGGTTCTTACTCAGAAGGCTCCTGGCACTCACAACTACATGAGCATTCGCTACATTAAATTCAACCCTGAAATCATGTCAAACATTAAAATAATCATTAAAGAACTATGACCTTTTGCAATGGGATAGACCTTTTTTTCATTTTACATGCGACTAGCATGCAAAGTATCAGGCAACTGCAGGAGCCAGAAATTCAGATAAAATTATATAACTAAAAACTAACCTGACTTTGGCTTCAGAACACTGAATAATATTGTTTTAGAGTTCACTGCTATATTTATGCTTAAGTGATTTCCTTAAATAAACTTTCTTAAGAATGTTCTCCCATTCTAGGTGAATACAGACTTGTTCAAAAGGGACAAAACCTTGAGAAACAACATTGGTCCTAGAATATTATATTTAGGGTTATAGCATACTCAAGTAGGGATGGAAAAGTGTACACATGAGTACCTTGCAAACTTGGGACCTGGAATATTCATCAGCGGCTAACTGCAAACTAAACTCTAAATTATAATCCGCAGGGATTCCTTGCCACAGCCCATTTATCAGGAAAAGTGAACCTCCTGTAGCTACAGGAAAACAATTCATTTATTTGTGGTTAACAGGGTACAATCGGTATTAAAATGCATAACTATTAATGTTTCCTTCTTCAAAATGGGAATTGCTTTATATTTTCCTGGTTATAAAATAATGCACATTAGTTTATTAAAAAGAAAAATATAAGAACCAAAACTACAAAGATTTCCTTTAAAATCACCTTTAAACCCTCTTCCCACAGGTCACTACTGTTGAAATATTGGTGTCATATTTTTTTACAGATTTTTATTCAAATAATTCTTCTCAAATTGTATGTTCACTTGGAACATAACTAAAAATGTTTGTTTTCCAAATAGATAAAATGTAATAATTCCCAAATATTCATCTCTTTTGAACTATTGCTCTTATCATTGTTATTATTGCATTATCTTATAAGGGATCCGAAAGGTCAACCTGAAGCATTATAAATACCAAGCCACTGCCATCAATTGATTCCAACAGCTAACACTCCTTCTAGGACATATCATCAGGAAGGATCAGGCCTTTGAGAAGGCCATCATGCTTGGTAAAGTAGAGATTTAGCTAAAAAGAGGAAGACCCTCAATGAGACGGATTGGCACAGTAGCTGTCCATGGGCTCAAGCATTGTAAGAATGGTGCAGACCCAGGCCATGTTTTCTTCTGCTGTTCATAGGATTGCTATGAGTCAGCACTTAACAACAACATAACTACCCCACAGAGTTTCTAGAGTGTGATCTTCATGGAAGCAGACTGCCGCAGCTTTCTCCCACAAAGCAGCTGGAGGATTCAAGGCTTGCACCTTTTACTTAGCACCCAAATACTTAACCACTGTGCCTCCAGGGCTCCTTAAAGCATTATAAAATATTCTCAAAATGTAAAAGGAAAATCCATGGGATTTAGTGTTGTTTTCAGTAATCAACAGTAATAGTTTGTGTCAAAATATCAACAGGGAAAAATGACTTCAATTATATTAAAATGATGGAATTGATTGTTTACTATTTACTTAGATCACCCAACCTTAGTAAGACACCGAAAACATCTTTGCCAGTGTTCTGTCTTCCTCTCATTCCCTACTTTCTAATCCTCCACCAAATCTCACTTTTGGTCCCCACTGTGCCTTCCATATCATGGTGGCTTCAAACAACCTGAGTGCTGCAAAGCCAATGCTTAAGGCTGACAATCATAAAATGCCACTTGGGCAACTTTTAATAAAAAAAAAATACGGGTAGATTTTGGATATGGGCTCTTTCTGTGTTGTTGTTGTTGTTATTAGGTGCCATTGAGTCAGTCCTGACTCACAGTGACCATATGCACAGCACAATGAAACACTGCATGGTTCTGGGCCAACCTTGAGCCCGTTAATGCTGCCAACTTGGCCAATACATCTCGCTGGGGGTCTTCCTCTTTTTCTCTGACCCTCCACCTTACCAAACATGATATATTTCTCCAGTGACTGGTCCCTCCTGACAATATGTCTGAAGTATGAGAGACGAAGCTTGGCCATCTTGGCCTCTAAGGAGCACTCTGGCTGCACGTCTTCCAACACAGATCTATTGGTTCTTTTGGCAGCCCATGGCACTTTCAATATTCTCCTCCAACACCAGCTCAAATGCATCAATTCTGCGGTCTTCCTTATTCAGTGTCCAGCTTTTGCATGCATATGAGGTTATTGAAAATATCATGGCTTGAGTCAGGCACACCTGAATCCTCAACACTTTAAAAAGGTCTTATGCAATAGGTTTGCCTAATACAATACGTCATTTGATTTCTTGATTGCTGCTTCCATGAGTGTTGATGGTTGATCCAAGAAAAATAAAGTTCTTGACAACTTCAATGTTTTCTTCATTGATCAGAATGTTGTTTATTGGTCCAGTGGTGAGGATTTTTGTTTTCTTTACATTGAGATGTAATCCATACTGAAGGCTGTGATCTTTGAGCTTCATGCAGTAAGTATTTTAAGTCCTCTTCACTTTCAGCAAGCAAGGTTGTATCATCTGCATATCGCAAGTTGTTAATGAGTCTTCCTCCAATCCTCATGCTACATTTTTCTTCTGTAACCCAGCTTCTCGGATTATTTGCTCAGCATACAGGTTGAATAAGTGTGGTGAAAGAATACAACCCTGTCACACACCTTTCCTAATTTTAAACCATTCAATGTTCCCATGTTCTGTTCAAACAACTTTCTCTTGGTCCATGTACAGGTTCCTCATGAGCACAATTAAGTGTTCAGAAATACTCATAATTCACAATGTTGTCCATAGCTTGTCATGATCCACACAATCGAAAGTCTTTGCATAGTCAATAAAACAGGTAAACAACAGGGACTTGTTGTTGTTGTTGTTGTTGTTAGGTGCCATTGAGTCAGAACTGACTCATAGTGACCCTTCAGTATTACAAGTTGAGGGTTGAATTTTTTCTTTAGTTCTCATAGCTTGAGAAATGTTGAGTGTGTTTTTCCCATTTGGGTTTCTAACTCCAGATCTTTGCACATTTCATTATAATACTTTACTTTGTCTTGAGCTGCCCTTTGACATTTTCTGTTACGCTATTTTAATTCTACCCTCATTCGTCTACATATGCACAACAGACATACAGTTGTCAATTTACTAGAGCACAGTATGGAATCCTTGGGTGGTAGCCTTAACATACTCAGCTGCAAAATAATAAGTTGGAGGATGAGTCTACCCAGATACACCTAGGAAGAATGGTGTGATACTTTAAAAATATCATCCACTGAAAACTTTATGAAGCACAATTCTACTCTGATACAGATGGGGTTGCCATGATTCATAATCAGCTCCATGGCTACTGGTAGTGCACAGGATGAAACTTCAGATTTAGTAAGTTAACAGAAAAAAAATGTACCAGTGGCAGCCACTGATTTGCTTGATTTTTTTTTTTTTTCCTTTTCTCAGAACATAGTTTTAGTTGCCATTCAACCCTTCTAACACATGCCAGGGTCTTCTCTACGTGGCATTATATCTGTTCTACATCACTCACACACACACACACACACACACACACACACACACACAGCAGTGAGGTAGGGATTCCACCGACACTGAAACTGAGCTGAGAAACGTGACAGAAATTCAAATTTCAATCTTGATCCCTTTGAAGCCTAAGTATTACTGGTTCATGGCTATGCAAGTCATTTATGTACCCTTTTAGTGACCTCTTTGGGACAGAGATGATGTTCAAGTTTGGGAGTTAGTTACATCTCTCTATGAAGGGTGTAACAATCTTTGATTTTTGCCTCACTGATTTTTCTCTCTTTATTTGCAGGTAGTGAAGTCAAAGCTAGCCGAAGAACACCACTTTATTAAAATGAAACAATCAAGGAATCATATTGTGGGAAAGTATTTCAGCAATCTAAACAAACTTCAGCAAGATTCTGTAACCAGGATTCAATCTCCGTATCATGTCCGAGGTCCAATTAATCAGGTTTGTTCTGAGATCCTTCTCAGCCGGATGTGTGCAAGTAAGTGGACGGCGCAAGATCACATGTAAGAGGATGGAACTGGAAGCTGGAGAGAAGATGTTCAGCTGGATGCTGGTCTGGAAACCACATCCTGTCCATCACATGAATTTCAGACTGACTGCATCATGCACACATGCGTACCATCACACACACACACACACAGTTGTTTAAAAAGCACTTTTGTCTTTCTACAGCTTTACAAAGGCAAGTTACACACCTGAAGATCAGTCGGGTTCAGATGAAAGACAGAGTTAGAAAATGGTTACTTGAAGTATAATCATAAACTAAGACCACTACAGGCCAGGTATTACATTGTGATAGTAAAGAGAAATCCAGATACTTGAATTATGTAAAAAAAAAAACCAAAAAACTAATACAATATTCTTGAGTATGCGTTATTTCCTCTGTTGTTGTTATTAAGTGCTGTCAAGTTGGTTCTGACTCATAGCGACCCTGTATGGGGTTTTCAAGGAGAGACTGGTGAGTTGCCCTTGTGGTTAACAGTCTACAACTTATTTCTTCTATAGATACATTAATACTGAAAAGAGAGAAAAAGCCAATTACATTCCATTTGTAAGTAAAGATTGTAGTTGTGTCCTTTACTCACAGAAAAGGTGGTACCTCTGATGGCTTTGCCTTTGTGAAAAAATATTTCTTCCCATGCTTTTAAAGTTTAAGATTGAAAGGAAAAGAACAAGAATCTTTCACAAGGGAATTCAGAGAGAACCTATGAGAGAAACAGGGAGTGAAACATTTTACAATTAAAACATCAATATAAGTATCTTTACACTCCCCATGTTTTTCATAAACATTCCTCTCCTGTCCAGTCTGTGAATTTGGATGGGTAACTTCTGTATACATTGATGAAATGTGTGATTTTAAAGTGAGCAGCAAAACACAATTTCTCATGTATTACTGTATTATGTTTCATGGATGATGTCACTTAAGAAAGTCTTTGTTTGCCCTTACAGCCCTATGCAAATTAAGATTACAGTGATATTTCTATGTCAATATTTTGCAAAGCGATTAGGACTATTTTCCACAAAGCTTTTGTCTATGTTATAAATAGTGCTATGTTATGTTAGTAACTGTACTTTTATTTTCCTGAGCAATTATATCTAATCCAAGTTTAGTGTAGGCATCAAATTATTTCTTATTAAAACTGTAGCATATGTTAAAGTATTGACAACTTTCTCTTCTATATTTTAAGTTTAAAATGCATATTTCTTTACTGTTGTCAAGCACATTGTTAAGCGATAACATCTAACATTTACAATATTTGGGTTTCTTTTTTTAAAGGTGATTTGTTTTGGGGGGGAGAAAATTGAGGGAGTTAATTTAATACATGCCTGAAAATGTCAAATGTAAAATTACCTCAATTCAGTTATTGTTTTTGTGAAATGTCATTGAAGTTCAAACTCATTGTCGCTCTATGTACAACAGAACAAAAACTGCCCAGTCCTGGGCCATCCTCACGAAGGTTCCTCTGTTAGAGCCCACTGTCATTTTATCTTGTTGAGGGTCTTACTCTTTATATTGCTAACTCTACCAAGCATGATGCCCTTCTCCAGGGACTGGTGCCTACTGACGCCATATCCAAAGTATGTGAGACCAAGTCTCTCATCATTCTGACTTCTAAGGAGACTTCTGCCTATATTTCTTCCAGGACATATTTGTTCATTCTTCTTGAAGTCCATGGTGTATTCAATATTTGCCAACACCATCATTCAAAGACATCAATTCTTCTATGGTCTTCCTTATTCATTGTCCAACTTCCTTGTGCATACGAGGCCATGGAAAACACCATGACTCAGCTAAAGCACATCTTAGTCCTCAAAGTGACACTTTAAAGAAGTTTTAGGCACCAGAGTCGTCCAATGAAATACATTGTTTGGTTTCTGACTGCTACTTCCGTGGTGGTTGATTATAGATCCAAGTGATATGGAATACTTCATTACTTAAACATTTTCTCCAGTTTTCATGATGTTGTTTATCGGTACAGTTGTGGGACTTCTTGTTTTTTGTTTAGGTATAATCTACACTGAAGGCTGTAGTCTTTGATCTTCATTAGCAAGTGCTTTAAGTCCTTTTTGTTTTCAGCAAACCAGGTAATGTCATTTGCCTATGGAAGTTTGATAATGAGTCTTCCTCCAATCCTGACGCCATCATGGGTGATTTCACTGTTATTTGAAATATCAGTGGCATAGCTTCCCACATCAGCCACATGCAAGCCAGCACAGTATGACAAACTAATTGGTGGTCAATTCTATTACCATACCGAAAACTGTTTTGATTAATCAGTTTCTTAGTATGAATATTGACCTCATTTAAATACTCTATATTTTTATATATATTTTTATATGAAGAAAAATGTTAATTTATATTTAACTATCCTAAATTATATTTAAGCACAAATGTGATTTGATGTAAACAGTACACATTTGCATCGTACAGATTATAGTTTGTTTGTTTCTTAAAGAATGGTACAGAATTCGCCAAACATGGAAGATTTTTCTATTATAAGCCACTATATGCAAGCATTATTTTTATGTTTTCAATGATTTAAAGGAAAATTATATGAAATGTCAATTTATGCAGTCTCGCCATGGTATTTTAACATATTATATAGTATAGTATGTAGCCGTATTACATTCAATGGCGTTTTAACATATTATAAACTCTGTAGCGTATTACATTCAGTGGCTGTTTCATGTCATTTCCTATGTCAACCTAACTGTAAAAATCTTCTGACTGAGGTTAGTCTGGTATTTACCTCTTCACTGTTGAAATAAGAATGGATTTTAGAAAGACTTGTAATAATACTATTAATAAATACCTTAATATTGTCTGTGTTCACAGAGCATTCTTTATTACCCTTTTGACTGGAAACACACAGCCATACAAGCAGTGCTTACTTGGACATTGACCATGTGGATTCAAGTTTGGGAGCATGGCTAAACAGACTTTGTTTTGTACTTCTATCCAGTCCTGATATCCTCTGAGTTTATGATCAGGCGAATTTCCTGTTGTACTGCTGTGAAATGAGCTGTTTTAAATACACTATAATAATACATGGTTTTGGTTTTGTTTTGTTTTGACTATAAGGCACTGAAATGGTGGAGATCATGTTAATTATTTCTTAGCTGGAGAAACTATTAAAAAAACAACAACTTGTGTGTATGTGTTAGCAAATTCATAATTTTAATGGAAAAGAAACAAAGTGCACACTTCTACATATGTTTAGATGTTAAAGAGTACGGTATTATGGGTAAGAATAGACTACTATCCAATCTGAACTAAACTAAAGAAAAAATAATATTAAAATTTAAGTAAACATTTCCAGGCCTCACTGTTGACATACTGTGTGCCTGTGTATAGGTATACATATGCTTTTGTGTGTTTGGAACTGTCTATTTTTCAAAGGTATAGTGTACTATTTACCAGCCATCCAAATAAGAAAGCAATATCCTCTGATGCATATTCAATATTCTTGGCCAACACCATGATTCAAAGGCAACAATTCTTCTTTGGTCTTCTTTATTCTTTGTCCAGCTCCAAATAGGCAAGCTGTGTCCTTTGAAGTATAATCAGTATTCTTTACCGGCACCGTAATTCACAGGCATAAATTCTTTTTTGGTCTTCCATATTCATTGTCCAGCTTCTCCATACATATGAGTCAATTTAAAATGGAATGACTGGGGCAAAATACACCCTAGTTCTCTCTGGTAAGGAGACATATGAGAGAGCATGGTGGAAGAATTCTCTCCATTGTATCTCATAAGCAGATACCACCATCTCGTCAGTGGAGGCTTGTATGTTGTTATGATGCTAAGCAGAGTTCAGACTAAAAGACTAAAAGAAATGCATGCCAATCTACTTACAAATATCAGCCAATGTCCCAATCCACAACCTATCAAAAGGACATCCCAGGACCATTCTGTTGTTTGTCATGAATTGTTGTTGTTAGGTGCCATCGAGTCAGTACTGACTCATAGTGACTCTATGCACAACAGAATGAAACACAGTGTGGTCCTGGGCCAAACTTACAATTGTTGTTACTTCTGAGTTCATCGCTGCCACCACTGTGCCAATCAATCTTGTTGGGGGATCTTCTTCTTTTTCTCAGACCCTCCATTCTACCAAACATGGTATCCTTCTTCAGAGACTGGTCCCTCCTGATAATATGTCTGAAGTATGAGAGATCATATTTAGTCATCCGGGTTTCCAAAGAACACTCTAGCTGTACTTCTTCCAACACAGATCTGTTTGTTCTTTTGACAGTCGATGGCACTTATAATATTCTCCTCCAACGCCATAGCGCAAATGCATCAATTCTTCTGCAGTCTTCCTTATTTCAACTTTTCAACTTTCACATGCATGTTGTTGTTGTTATGTGCTGTGGAGTCGATTCTGACTCATAGCAACCCTGTACAGAGTTTCTGGGGCTGTAAATCTTTATGGGAGCATCTTTCCCCCACAGAACAGCTGGTAGTTTTAAACTGCTGACCATAAGATTAGCAGCCCGATTCGTAACCACTATGCTACCATAGAGAAGACTTATTCAGCAGCAGCTA